TACCCACTAGACCTTTAAAGTAGGCACATTTGCACGGCTTTTATGATTGGGATGTGAGGATGCATCCTTATTCTAAATTTTCCATCCTGAACCTTATTTGATCTTATCATCCTTATGACATCACTCTTATTGTTTTCTACCATTCACAAGGTGACTTCCTCACTCAGAGGACAAGACAGTAATGTGACATTGTCTTTCTCAGTGTATGACAGTATCCTGCAGATTCCCCGTGCACACACTCTGTACCATAGATAGAATCGTCTCTGTGGCCAGTCCCATATATGAAAAAGCTTTTTTTCCCGAGTTCAAAGGTCACACCTGTGACAACTGTCAGCCAGCCAGCATCTCAAACGAATATATCACTCACGCATGGAGCATATGGCCAATCTGTCCGCCCTGGCTGGCCTCTTTCATCTCTGTAAAATATTGCTTCAAACAGACAGTGACAAACAGACTCATTTCTACGTCGTCCAACTTGTGTTAGACGGTCAGGAGCTCCATTTTATGTAATCAAATGTCAGGAGATAGTCTGTATACCCCCAGAGTTCAACATGAGATGACACAGACGTTGATGAAACGATGGGAGATACAAACATCATATTTTGTTCTAACTATTAGCTTCCGCATCTTCTCCTCCTCCTCCTCTTCTTCTTCTACTTATCCTCATTGTTACTTAGTTGAAAACTTTTAAAGCAGCTCTTAAATTATTGGGAAAAGAGGGGAATTTGTGAGTGGACAAAACACCCAAAAACAGGTCAGAGCTGTCATAAGCAAAGGGTCACTCTAAATCGTATAAACTCTGCAGGAGCTTTAATGAATCCCATCAATACAGGGAAAATCTCGTGACCTTAGAATTTACATTTTGACTAATTCCCCTAATGTATCCATGAAATAAGAGACGTCTGGGGGCAGGCGATTATGCCTCAGTGGCTAGTCTTGTTCACTGGGATTTTCACTAGTCACTGGAATTAACATGGCTTAAATTCTCTCCGCCCCATAGCTAATTGAAACAAGTAATCTCTTGAGTTCGCCCTGCACTGAGGGACGGGGAGGACTCAGCGGCGTAACATGTTATCCTCAGAGCAGACGCGTTCAACAAGACTGTCTCCCAGCACACTGTGGCAGAAAGCAAAGCAGCAACGGGTCTCCTGGTGGAAATAACTTTTGTATCCATTCTCCACAGCTAAATAATTCACTTATTATGTTAACTATGCTGAACAGAAATAGAACACTGGTTTGAGGAGCTGACAGATGGAAGAGAGCTGATGCTTTGTGGGGAAATAAAGACATGTAAAACACTTTGTTCAATAATGTGCACAAGTTAGCTCTGTGAATGTTTTGCATGACTTATAGGGTCCCCTGACGACTCACAAGACCGTCAGTCAGTCTAGTCGTGTCGCTGGAATTTGCTCCAGCAGAGGTGGGGATGAATATTCAGAGGCTCAGCTGCCTCCAAGGCCCACAGAGACATGACACACACCCCTCAAAGGACCCCTCCCTCCCTCATCTCTCCACACACACACACACACACACTCCCCTCCACTTTCCCCTTGATGTGGTGGAGTCAGTCCAACACTCCACAGGTGTGACCCACTCAGACCTGTGAAAGCCTCCACACACCGCTCAGCCCTGTGATCAGGAAGGCAGAAAAGAGCAGCTGCGCATATACAGGAAGCAAAGGCAGAATTATCACCGCAAGCCTTCTATTGGACACCATGGAAAATTAATCAATGTCCCTCCTCCTTCCAGGCAGAGATGGATTACTGAACCGGCCTACTGGGCACAGGCCCAGGGGCCCAAAGTGTCAGGGGCCCCCTGGTCTCCACATGCAAAATGTCACTCAGATAACCAACCAGTTCTCATCCCAACTTGCCAAATACAGACGCTTTGTAAGTGGATAAATGTCAAAAGATGGTGCACCAGGCAGCGTCCTGCATCAGGACGTTCACAGATCAAGTCTCAACTGACGACTGTTACATGCATTGTGTGTTTTTAAATTACATTTCTCTTTTACAGGAAATGTACAGTTTCTGCTTGTTACATGCATACAGTCGTCTTCAAAATGAACTTACTATGTAGGTAAAACACTTCATCTTTATGTTTTTTCCTCAGGTTTTGGCAGCAAAAGCATGTGGTTATGTTTAGAAAAAAAACATTATGGTTTGGCTTAAAATAAGTACATTTATTACTAACATAAAGACAAGTCATGTGGTATACGGCATGTGACATACCATACGTCACTGGAGTAGTATGCTACTCAAACTAGCACACTGTCTCGTTAAAATAAATTGGTAATTGCGCATCTCCCCAAAATTCAAATGTGTGCCTCTGTGTGAATGCCAAGGTACAGTAATTGCCATCATTGTTGAGCAGCATTTCATCCACCACATATCCAGCCACAAGCTTCAACACTTCCTTGTAGCTGCGGCTGTCGTCACGATTAAAATCCAGTTTTGGTTGTTAAACTAGTGCAGGGCTACAGCCGACCTCTGCGGCCACAGAGGGCTCACCTTTGGTGGGGTGTATTTCCTGGAGCTTCACATTGTTGTGTTGTCAGTCATAGTAGCTGAGGCGTTTCAGACCAGAGGTTTGAGGACGTGTATTTTGCAGTGTAAAGACTTTAAGTCCGACTACCTGTCTGACTACCGCCATGGGAATATTTCCAGAATATTTCCAGCCACTAAGCTAAGTGTTTCTAACTAGCTTGCTGCTTTGTGACATACTTGCACAGCACAGTGATTCCTAAAATGAGTCTGCCGATGTGATGTTGTATTTCAAGTCAGTAGTGACTTGGAGTTACTGTAATATTAGTACTGAACTGCACCAGTGCCACAGCCCAACACTAGTTGTTGGCGGCACAGAAACAGCCACTGCCCGTGTGTATTGTACCGCCATAAAAGATGCCTCTGTGCATTGGTATCTGATGTAGAAATCATTGTCAAAGCGAAAACATTTGCTGAGTTGGGAGTGAGAACAGGCTGAATAAACACTCACCGACCACGAAAACACTCAAAATCGCCATAAAAGACCACGAAGAGATGCAAAGGAACTGCAAGGAGACACAAAGCAACTATAAGCATGGGCTAAACCACAACCACAAAAAGATGAAAAACAAGAAAGATACACAAAACAACCACAAGGAGACACAAAATGACCTCAAAAAGACACAAAAAACCCCACAAAGAGATACAAAACAATCACAAGGAGTCACAAAAAGACACAAAACAACCACAAAGAGACACAAAACAATCACAAGGAGACACAAAATGACCTCAAAATGACAAAACAACCACAGAGAGACACAAAAACAACCACAAGGAGACACAAAACAATCACAAGGAGACAGAAAATGACCTCAAAAAGACACAAAACAACCACAAAGAGACACAAAACAATCACAAGGAGTCACAAAATAACCTCAAAATGACAAAACAACCACAAGAAGACACAAAACAACCACAAAGAGACACAAAATTACCTCAAAGAGACACAAAACAACCACAAAGAGACACAAAACAACCAAAAGAAGACACAAAATGACCTCAAAGAGACACAAAACAACCACAAGGAGACACAAAACAATCACAAGAAGACACAAAATGACAAAACAACCACAAGAAGACACAAAACAACCAAAAGAAGACAGAAAATGACCTCAAAGAGACACAAAACAACCACAAGGAGACACAAAACAACCAAAAGAAGACACAAAATGACCTCAAAGAGACACAAAACAACCACAAGGAGACACAAAACAACCACAAGGAGTCACAAAATGACCTCAGAAAGACACAGAACAACCACCAGGAGACACAAAATGACCACAAGGAGTCACAAAATGCCCTCAGAAAGACACAGAACAACCACAAGGAGACACAAAACAATCACGAAAACCTGCATAACAACTACCAAGCGACATAAACCACTGCAAAGTCTGTGTGTCTTGCTCCTGTGTAGGAGAGGTGGTGGGGCCCTTTACATATCTGTGCCCAGGGGCCCATTGCCTCATAATTCGCCCACGCCTCCAGGTCTGCAGGTTGCACCGGTGCCACAGTTAAACTGATAGATGGGGGAGGTCCTCTGTCTCCGTGCAACACACTCTGTAGGCTTTTGAAGGTTAATAGCCAAAAGATTGATCCATCAATCGCTTTAAAGCCTCAAATAATACCGTCCCATGCTTGGTTTAAAACTAATTTCTCGCTTTTATACCGGATAATGTTGGACACATATAGGCATGCCCTTGGACACGATTTCACATACTCTGCTGCAGAATGTGGCTGCTGCTGCCAGTCAGAGAAACACACACACTCCCTCACACTCACATGCAGCATCTAGATTGAGTTTTCGCACTCAGTGATTGGACTTGATATGTTCGTCAACGTCACAGGAGCATCCCAGGCGCCCTGAGACCCAACACGCTGCATATGCTGCGCAACAGCACCTGTAACGTTTGAGCCGACCCAGAAGCGTCACATGTGAAGCCATCACACCACATCTTGTGATGCCACTGCCATAATTGAACTGATTGCGCGCTATCATATTGCAGATAGTCCCAGAATATCATTAGAGCAGACATGAGAATGTTAATTTAGTAGGATGGAGAATTGTTGCATCAAGTCCAGATGATCTGCAGACGTTAAATGTGTCTCAATAACTGGCTTAAATAGTGAGGTATGTGAGTTTAATTAGACTTGAGTGTCAGTGCAGACTTCACAGAGAGAAATAAATGTACAAAAACACACCGACAGTGAAGTGAGAGCTGAGAGGTAAGACACCAGGCGGCCAAATCGACGTTAAGATATAACAAATGGAAGCAAAGGCTTCATGTCACACTTTTGACTATGCATCCACTGCCAAAGCGCTGGTGGTATTACATGCTGTAATCTGGTATTCACACATTTTTTCTTTACCCCCCTCCTCATTCATTGATGGTGCATTTCTTCCCTGATAAAGGCGGTGTGCTGCGATGCTTGTAACATCAATCACATCCAGTGCACGGGGCGCGTATCGTCTTCCGTCTATCAGCTCGAAAGTGCTCTCCGCCTCGGGTGTGTGGGATATGTGCTTCTCCGCTCTATTATCCCGTAAAAATCTGATTCTGTCTTCTCGGGAGCTGTTATAGTGAGTGGCCGTGCTGGACGTGCCATTTATTTCCCCTCCGCTCACAGCCTAAAGTTGGGACTTAAGACTTTTTTTTTTTTCAGCACCACTTTTTCCGTGGACAGCGCTCAGCGATGATTCTGGGGGGATCGACGCAGCCTCGACATGCGTGTGGATTCCTGTTGGATACTATTCAGAAACAATCTTTAGGTGTTAATTAATTTTAAAACAAAGCAAAGCCAGGAAACCCTCCCTTCCCATTGTGACAGACCCAACAAGATGCGATTTTGCTTTGGATATGGGTCACTTCTTATGAAAGGATTCTTCGTGGGCAGGAGACAGGGGTAAGTACAGCCACCAAGCCTGTAAAAAAAAAAAAATGGGTCATCCACGCCAAATCAAATGTTTAGAAAACGTCGTGACTTAAATTTACTTAAATCTCAAGGCGTAGCGTTGAGGAGACAATTAGGATCCGTGATACAAATGTGAGGATCCAACGCAAAAAAACATGTTGGTGCGACTGTTTCCAACGCTGCTTTTATACTTAAATCAATTAATGACTCATAATGGCTGTGACAGTTTTTGAAAAGTAGATGTGTGGATTGTCCACGAGCACGAGTGCAACGCCCAGGACTGTAGGTGCATTGATTGTTTTTACGCGTTAAGGCGCAGCGTTTTGTGTGGAGCTCTGTGCCTCGCTGCGCTGCAGAGGCGCCCCAAGTCTCCCTCTCTCTCTCTCTCTTTCTCTCTCTCTCTCTTTCTCTCTCTCTCTCTCTCTCTCTCTCTCTCTCTCTCACACACACACACACACACACATAAAAAAATATGATAAAAGAATGACTCAATATCCAAAAACTGCTGGAGCTCCAGGGTGTAAATATGATTATAGTTACAGCTGTGAAAAGCGCGCAGATTAGACCAAACCGTGGACAAATCTTTTCTGCAATACAAGCCAATCCAGTTTGACTCTGAATGGCAACAACAGGATGCAAACAGCCTCTTCTCCTTCTTCTCCTTCTCCCCTCAGCTCCCCCACATTTATCTAATCTCCACCTCTGTGTTCGTGTCTCCCTCTCAGCCCCTGAAACAAGTTGAGTCACGTAGGGGAGCACCCCGGCTGGCTGGGTGGTGTTTTGTGAGTGAGTGTGTGTGTGTGTGTGTGTGTTTGGGGTGGATGTGGAGGGGTGGTGATGGTGCTGATGGGGGGGGGAGGGGGATGAACGGTGTGTGAACCATCGATTGTCAGTCACAGTGCTGTGCAGATGTGCAGCCTCCTGGCAGTGGAAGCGAGATTGGAGACAGCGGTAGAACTGCTGATGTGAGACTGCTGCTGTGTACCCCAGAGCAAACTTTAATAGGTTACTTAGGCATGCACGGTTGTTACTTCAAGGCCATTATTTTGTTGACAGCGATGTGCATTATGCTTTATTTGCATGTTTGTCTGCCGGCGTTTTAAAACACAAGGCTGGAGGTATAGTGGTCAAGGACTGTAAGACGAAGCCAAGCTACCTGACACACAAAGAGACCTCGGTATTAATACTGCTTCCATTTTGGGCTGCTCCCTCAGGCCTTATTGTGGGGCCAGAGATTAGCTTTGTGCTATCTTACTCTCATTGCTCCAATTCATGGTGGGGGGGCTGCCATGATTGCAGTCAAATATGCCATTGTCTGCATTCCCTCTGAACTTACAGCCAAGAGGGGAAATGTTCCTCATATCAGTGGGTAATTATCTAAAGAGTCTGACTCAGCAGAAAGAGAGATTTTAATTCAATCTCATCCAGCTTCGCGTGCCCCCACGAGATAGATTTTATGTCTTACGTTGGGTTATTCTCGTTGGCATGCTCTTCACAACTGCAGTGACTGATAGCCTACCTGGATCTCGCTACAAAGCACGCTTAAGAAATCTCCCCTGGAGAGAGATTGGGAGGAATACTGTGTGTGTAGATTGTAGCCAGCAGGAAGGTGCAGGGGCTTATTCAAACAGCCTTAGATTTACTTTTCCGAGCTTTGCCTGGCTTATCTTGTCCTCCGAGTTAGTTTAGCAAGTGCAGACTCAGCGTAAGACCCCTGGTTTGCCTGCTGCAAAGTTCTCTTTAATGTGTCATGGGCCAGAGTGTAAGAAGATACTGTAGCATTGCTTCATTCTCTGCTTAATAATACACGAGGACACACCAGCATGCCGTAGATTAGTTTGCCCGGGGAATACAAGTGCATCCTTACATTTCATTCTGGTGGGGTCAAATAATGAACACATTCTCTTGATGGAAACCACGATCATCAAAGTGATTGAAATCTTTCCAGGAGGGAGGGAGGGAGGGTTTTGAGCCTGCTCTCCAGCCTGCAGAGAGCCTCTCCACTCTCCAAACCCTTTACTGTAACTGCAGCATGGATCCAAGAGCAAGACAGCAATAAACAAACGTGTGCACTGTTTCCCAAAACAGACCCATGGTTAAATTCCCGACAGACCTCTGTTGTTCCCTTTTACAAAGGCTTGTGCTGGAAATGGGAAAATGTGTGCACAGTGTATAGAGAGCCCAGGTTCTAGCTTCATTCTCCTCCCGGCAGACGCCATCTGCTCACTGGGGAGGTTTTCCAAACATTTCCATAGTAAAGACAGGGGAAATGAGAAACATGGCACAGCAGGCTCTGTGTTTTTTAACTTAAAATAAAAAACAGGTCACTTAATCTGGAAAAAAGGAATGAGTAAACATACCTAAATAAATACATGACAAATAAAAATCACTGCACTAAGTCGTGCCCTCATGTGACATTAGCACAGTATGCATGCACACACATCGGAGCAAATTTCAGGCGGGATGGACACATGTGCATTAGTCAAAATTTAAAGGAACAGTGTGTAAGATATAGGGGGATTTAGTGGCATCTAGTGGTGAGGATTGCAGATTGCAACCGGGTGAAACTTCTCCCAGTTAGAATTTCTTCAGTGTTCATTGTTCAGGTGGTTTTAACCAGGAGCCGAATTATCTGCAGAGGTCTCTTCCTCTCCCAAACAAATGGACCAGGTGATTAAAACCGATAAAAACACTGAATTAAGCAGTTTAGCTTTACAAATCAGTGTTTTTTCCTACACTGTTTGGCACATTGCAGACAAGCCGCTTGTGCAGCACCTGCTAATGTTTGCTCATTATTTCTAAATCTGACGTTCAGGAGGCTTTTACTGGGAGCTGAATTATCCACAGAGGTCTCTTTGTCTCCAAAACAAACCAACCTAGTGATTTAAAGTGGTAAAAACACTAAAACAAGCAGTTTCACATTACAAATCAGTGTTTTTTCTACACTGTTTGGCACGCTGCAGACAAGCTGCTCGCCCAGCACCTCCTAATCTGTGTTCACCTTTTTTCTCTGATAATTTAAGATCCAAATGTTCAGGAGGTTTTTACCAGTAGCTGAATTATCCACAGAAGTCTCTTCCTCCCCAAAACGAACCGACCTAGTGATTTAAACCTGTAAAACCACTGAATCAAGCAGTTTCGAGTTACAAATCAACATTTCTCCCATGCTGGTCAGCATACCAGAGACAAGGCCACTAGTCCAGTACCTGCTAATCTGTGTTCGCTGTTTTTTCTCTGATAATTTAAGATCCAAATGTTCAGGAGGTTTTTACCAGGAGCAGAATTATCCACAGAGGTCTCCTCCTCTCCAAAACAAACCAACTAAGTGATTTAAACCGGTAAAAGCACTGAATGAAGCAGTTTCAGCTTACAAATCAGTGTTTTTTCTATGCTTATTTTAGTTTATTTCGGTCATTTTCCAATTTATAAAACAAAAATATACTGGTTGATAGACAATACATAAACATTAAGTTAATGTTTTTTAAAAAACAAAACAAAACAAAACAGGACCATAAAAGGTGTAGGCTGAAGCCCTAGCTTATTACACCTACCTATAAGAAACTGACAGAACTAAGTATATATACATTATATAGGCGTATTGTCTGCCCAAATATCCCAAACACATTTCATGTACACTCTGGTGTTCATACTTCAGTTTTATATTTGTTAATCATCTTGTGTTTAAATATTTTTTTAATCTATTGTGTGTATTATGCACTTTCATTTCTGTTTCAACCCCATTCCACAAATTTACTCCATATACTGAAACACACCTTTGTTTTACATTTGTTCTGGTCTTCGTTTTAATGTGAACACACAGCTCCCTCTCAGTTCACACAGACATTCTCTTATTTGAAACAACCTCTGGATACATTCTGATAGCATGCCCTTGTATGCTATCAGTGATGCTATTTCAAGATCTACAAGTTCACTTAATTTGAGTGCCTGTGAATTTATGAATAATTGGCAATGCTGGCCGGCATGTCAGAGACAAGGCTGCTAGCCCAGCACTTGCCTATCTGTGTTATCTTTTTTCGCTAATAATTTAAGATCCAGATGTTTAGGAGGTTTTTACCAGGAGCCAGATTATCCACAGAGGTCTCTTCCTCTCCAAAACAAAAGGACCAGGTGATTTAAATAGGTGTAAAAAATGAATAAAGCAGTTTCACTTTAAAAAAATAATTGTTTTTAACACTATGGTCACAGAGGAGCTGCTAACTACAGTGGCAAAAGCGAAAACATGAAAATGCAAATGGCCCTGTCTAGAGCTAATGTTTGATTTGTTTGTGTCAGCTACCGTAGAAATGTGGTGGTGCAACATGGTGATCTCCATAGACAAGGGCCTGCTCCGTTAGCAGATATAAACAGCTCATTGTAACAATTTTAATTTTAAGGTGGTCATACGCTAAAGAAAACATACTTATATTATATTGCATTTCTGCAGAAAAGGCACACATTTTCACATAACAATGGATGCAGTAAATGAAGTGTTTGATGCTAAATATTTTCTTGCAGAGGACTCCCACACCCCCTGTCTCCCCCAGGTATTGAAGCAAAACCTACACTTTTACACACAGAGATGTATTTCTTTAGAAGTGTGCATGAATTTCCTGTCATCTGTCAGGTTTCAGGAAAACATCCTACAATTAGAGAACCACATTTCGTTCCTCTGAGGACAGTTTCTTTGTATTTCATATGTTAACGATATATGAAAATGCTTAAAGTCTCTGATATCTAAGCTAATGGAAACATGATGCGTATGAATTACATCAGCAGGAGTTCATGAAGACCATTAAATCAGAATCATAAGAGACCACTGACACTGAGAGGATGCCCTGTCTTCTGATGGATGGAAATTAAATGTTCGTCCTTGTAACAGGTAAACAGACGCTATTATCTCTTGAGGTTCTGCTGTTTCAATTTTGTGCGCTAGGTTGTAAATTTAGACTAAAGCAACAGGTAGAAATTAGACCCCCAAATAGCATTTTAAC